TAGTCACAGGTATATTCTTCGGTCTGGATGTTTTTTAATGAAAGTTACCTATGGGGCACTTCTAAAACAGCAACTCACCTTAATCAGAGTTGTAAGAGATTCTTGGATATAAATAATACAGGCTGACAGAATAGGAATGCTGCTACAGAGATACTTGCTAAACTAGGACATTATTTTGTTTCTAATCTTTCACCTGAAAAGATGTAGGTCATCAAGTAAACAGCTACTACATTCTTTAAAACTAAAAATATCTGCCGAAGTAAAAACTTTTGGTGATTAAAATATTTTACTTTTAACAACATCACGCTCCTCACTATCTTCACAGCTAATTGTTTCTATCTCAACTTCTGCTATTCTATTTAGTCCATTTACGAACTATCTTCTCCCACTAATCTATAAAAAGAAAAGGGAAGAAGAGATTCTTTGGATTCTCGAAAAATCAGCCAAAAACGTTTGCTTAATCCAATTATACTTAACCTTCCATATGCTTTACCATCTCAAAACAATGTTTAATCAATTTCCTATGTAAATGTAAATGTTTTTCAGATGAAAGATCAAGTCCCAGAAGCAAAGTTAAACCTTTCCCATGAGTCATTAAAAAATTGTTTCTAAGCTTCTATGCTCATAAATACCTTTCCAGGCATCTAAACCAGTGACTCTTGGAGCCACTGTTTTTTTTTTTAATGTTAACTTGAACTTGTCAATATAGAAAAATAAATTACAAAGCTGCAAACAAAGTAACTTAAGAATGTCTACTGGTAACACATAACAGGCTAAATGGGATACTGTTTCCTGCAGTTTTCAAATATAAACTCAAAAAAATTAGTAAGTAATAATTTCATCCTGCAAAATTTTTTCACCTCTACCAACAATGATCTCTAGATCCAAACTGCATGATCTCCACACTAAGGCTATATACATATATATGAAGACATATATGTGTGCACACACGTATCTAAAATCTTATTCTGATTTTAACTCTAAATCATTTTTTAAGGAAATGAATTCCTTTCTATATTTTTTAAAATGTTTTACCACTTCCCACAGTTCCAGAAAAAAAGGAATAATTCATGTTCAGAACATTTTGAATGTTTTCTATTTGTGGGGAAGTGCTGCAAATGAAAATACCTTTATTATCAACATGGCCAGTATTTTAAAACAAAAATCTATACTTAAAAGACATTCAATGGATAGTAAGTGTAGAGCAAGGAACTAAATAGGAATTTATACCTAGGGATTTTTTAGTATACAAAATGAAACTAAAATCAACTGAGCAATAAATCTCTAGCAGAGATTATGTATTTTGAAGTACACACAGTACCATCTTAATATAAATGTCATTAGAAAAGTGTTCTACCCAGGAAGTGAGACGGCAGGTGGGAGTTTAGCCCCTTTACAAGTAGTCTTGGGCTAGAAATCTTTCCAAGGCTTACTGTGAAATTCTTCCTTAAACAAGGAATCCCGAATACAGCTGTACGATTCTAACAGGACAGTGCTTCACCCACGGTCCACTTCATGTTGTTACGTTATTTGTATGTTTCCATTTTTGGGGGGGTGCTTCCAATTGTCCTTCTCTTGTCAATCGGTGGCAGTCATTCTGGGGTCATGTAGTCCCCATGTAGCAACCTGGCCACAGAGTCTGGATCCAAGGGCTACTGACACTGCCGCCTGATGTGTGCCGCTCAGACTATGAACAACTGCTCACCTTCGGCCCTGCTCCAGATAGCTGACAGATGACCATAAAACCTTACCATCCTCTCTTTTCCCAACAGCTTTACCATATACTCCAGGGTTAAGTGCACAGCCACACACGTGACTAAAACTACTCAGATTTCAAACTTCTGTATTCAGAGTGCACTGTTTGCTTTTTCAGAACTCTTTCTTTAGAAAGTAAGTACTTTTTACTAAAGTGTAAACACAATTTTCAAAGAAATTTCCACACTCAATGTAGAAGCCACATTTCAACTCATGGGACTCTTAGGCATACCAAGAAACAAGGATCGGGTGATAAATGTTTTCAATTTCTTTTTAAAATGCTGTTAAAAGGACAAATATTTTTATTTGGAAATATACACTTCTTGACACTGTTGCCTAAGTAGCCATACTTATTTCTAATCAGAAGCACGATATATATATATGCTCAAGTAACACAAAAACACTTCCACACAGGTAATAAGGATATCCCTATAGGCCAATAAGTATGCTATCACATATATATAAAAGACAGCATGGTTTTTACAATTTTTTCCCTAGAATAGAGGCAACATCAATTTCAGGTATTTTGTCTAACCATATAGAGCTTTGTATTATTTTTGTATATTCTTTCTAAATAAAGAAATCAAAATGTATAAACTTAGAAAAACTTGAATGCTATGAGACTTCTAACTGTTATTTTCTACTCTTTCATCTCGAATTTTTTTAAAAAACCATCTTGTTTCAGAAAGACTATGTCCTTACGTTCGGTTTACAAGTCAAGAAGCATTTGCCATCTAAAAATCCAGAATAAGCAATTAAACAGAACTCAGGTGTAGGTTGTTTTAATTGCTTAAAACATTTTAAAAACCTAAGGTAACTTGACATTTTAAAGCAATTACAATTATTTTCTAAAGAAGTCCTAGGGTCCTGCACATTCTGCCTATAGTGGCAATCATTAAAAAGGTTTTATATCAAAAATACAATATCAACATGCCCATATAAATTTTTAAAGTCCTCTAACAAAAAAAGCTAATTACATGAGAAGTTATTTAGAAATACCTGGGCCTTTAAAGGAAGAAGGGAAAAAAAAAAACCACTTTGCTAGCTTCAGATACATTCATTAAAAAAACGACAGGGTGGGGAGGATGCAATGAGAGCGCACAGGTAATTTTCAAAGGCATTGTGTAGAAACTAAAAATGAGGAGAAAACAACCTCAATGCTCTATGATTACCCAAGAACGGGTTTAGCCAGATGAACAAGTCTGCCACAAACCCTCCTCGAGGCATCTGAGAGGCTATCAAACAAAACTTTATTAAGCTGGGTTACGGGGTCTCACTCATCAGATGTCAGTGGACACACATTTATGATCAGGCAAAAAAATCAATGCACGGGATTCAAACTAGGCCTGCATCTTTTTAGTTGGTTTTTATCTTTTCCAGTAAGAGCGTCATTAAGACAACCCACTATTAAATTTCCCTGCCAGCAGGTCAAGTTCCAGAATCGCAGGTATAAGCATTCAGAGCACTAAACCCTGCCAGGGGTTACAAGGCCATTTAGATATGTCCTGACTACATCCCAGCAATAAGCAGTTGATTGCATTGATATATGGAATCACGCTCCTCCTTTATTAGGAGACTTTAACCTCAGGAGAAACACTGTTTCCTCCTTCCTATCTCCCATTTCAAGGACTTTCAAAGGAGAAAGGACAAGAGCTCAAAAGTTCTGAAGTTATTTCCTCTCCTCCTTAATCATAATTCAGGTAAAAACGCATTTTCAGTGTTTCTTCCTAAATATATAACATATACTCTATAAAAGCATTGTTTAGTATTTCTATAGAGACTGTTTTCATGGTTTTGTCATTTGTATGCTGAAAACTTCAGATTGAGTTTACATGCTTAATGCATATTTAAGTATAAATATAACTTTTACTTTGGGATTCGGAGATAGCCTTTTTGTCTCTACCTAAAAACTTCAGGTTGAAACAACCCACTGGTTTCACTGATAAATACAGGAGATGTCTTTTCTTTAAAAGCAATTTCTCAGAAAGCCCTGGAATCTACCACATTGTCGCCAACACTATTTAGATTTTAAGTAGTATTTATCACTGGAATATCAAGCAATACTTCCCAATGCGCATATGAAATGTCTGCAGCCATGTTCCTCTTTGAGCTCTATCTCAGCACTGACCTTTGTTCAAAGGCTTTTACTTTTTAATGCAGCAGTTAGAGATAACTACTTCATTTATCAAAACTCAATTTCCATAGTAACATCTAGCCTGGGGAGATTCAAGTCCTCACACTAATCCAGCAGCCCATTCAAAGGAACTGTTGAATACTTTGGTTTCCATAGCAATGATGGAATAAAACATTTTGCTAGGTCATTGCTTTTATTAGCAAACTTATTCTCTGAACTTTAGGTTAAAGCTGCATTTACGGAGAGGAAAAAAAACACAATCCCTTTGTATAGGTTCTTTCCTTTAGGCCTATCCTTTTAAGAAAATCACTAATGGTAACCACCCATAGTTTTAAAAATACTTTGGGTATTTGGAGATTTTTACAGCTTGCCACCACCTAATTTCGTCCTCAAATAAGTTCTGATATAAAGTTTTGAAATTAAAAAGCATTTTAAAATGAGTGTATAGATCTGACAAAAGTTTTTATAAAATTATAGGGGCTAAACATTTTAAACACGGATGAGATATTAGCTGGAATAGTCTCTCCGATGTACAATATGGACTGGGGTAGAATGTAAAATAGCTTTTAAACCACGACCCTAGTTTTGCCTGATTTTAGTATTTTTCAACTTCCAGCCCACCTTTTACCAGCAGGGAAAACATACTAAACACAGATATTTTAGGCTCAAGGTGAAATTAAGATAATTTATTAAGCAATTACACTTTACCTGCTAAATGGAAAAGGCTTTAGTGTTTGATGTAGTTTTATAGAAGCCAGCTGATTTGTTACGGAGGGAGAAAATGAGTTACATTTTTTTCCTTCAACATAGGAACAGCAGTGCCATTAAAGTTTTAAAATCCATTAGTAAACATCGTTGTTTATGTTTGGGAGCAATTAATTCTATGTGAGGTGACAGGACAAGGTTTTAATGAGGGAACATCAGCCTTCCTGGAACCAAACTTTTTTCACTGAACTGAATTTTGAGCCAAGGCAGTGCTGAAAAAGGTAAGCCATTAAAAAATAAAAGTTGACAGAAGAAAGAAGAGATCAAACACGTGCTGGCTTTTAAAAGGATGAATACCACTTATACTATTTACACAACTCACAGAATTAACAAGAAAATTACATACCAGTATGAGTCCTCAGGTGAGCTTTTAAATGAGAAGACTTTGTATAAACTTTTGTGCAGCCTGAAATAAAGGAGAAGAACAGCGTGTCATTCTGGAGATCCTTTTGAAATCTTTACATCTGATGATTCAGTGTTTAAAATCAGGCTTTAAAGATGAAATCTCTCATGCAAAGAGATATTTGAAGCTTCAGTTTTAAGAGATGTTTTAAAGCATACTCCCCTATTACCTGATTAAAGGTATAAAGTGATTTGCTTTATGTTTCACTTTAGCAAGAAAAGAGAGCAGACAATCAAGCCAAACTACAAATGGGAAATCTATGTTTATACCAGTAGATGCTTTATACTAATAACACATACCTCGGTGATTTAAAAAATTTTAATGGCTCTAGAGCTGACAATGTTAAACCATTATCCAAGATGACTGCAATTTTCTGTACTCCCACATTTCTTGTTTTTTCATTTAGTATGTCATGTCATATCATGTACGAGTCAATAAATTATACCCTGTATTAATCATAAACTAGCTTATGCCAGCAACTCGTAGATATATTCATCACCGTCATCAATTTATATTTTGGGCCACATACCTCATTCAAGAAAGAGCATATGCTCACATGCTATCAGAACCAACCTTGAAATATATTCTGTAGATGGTCTTGTCTTGTACCAACCCACTCTTCATTACAACCCTTTCTTTTCCCCTGTGTTATTTAAGCAATCCCTTTCCGGGATACTTAATTTAGAATTAAGAACTCCAATTTACATTGCCACAGTAAACAAAGTGAGCAAGACTCTCATGTACTTAACATTAAAAAGAAGGGAGTTCAGTACCTTTTTTTTGTCCCATAATATTCCAAACTTTTTTTTTTACTACATCAAATAAGCACAAACTAACTAAATGGTTACTTGGGTAAGGCCCTGGAGACTGGGATGCAACAAGAGCAGAGTAGGTGAATTTTTTTTAACTGTCAACCACTACTCTCCCATGTAAAGTTGGAATGAGAGGTGGAAAATGGCACACACTAAACACACACACTGATTCTTTAACCAGGTAGGATCACATACCCGGGTAATCGCAGTAGTGGATGCGCCGTTTCTCCAAATCGGGGTTACTCCTTCTATTGTATCTGACAGGCTGGATGTTTTGTGAAGTAACTGGCAGGGTGGCAGGTAAATTTGGATTATGAATTGCCAGTTTAGAGGCAATGGTAGCAGCATAGGATGGAGGTGGGGTTAAATTCTGAAGCATCTCTGCTTGTCTATCTGGGCTTCCAGGCTCTGAGCTTGGTGGTGACGGGGGGAAGTAAGTGGCCTGCTGGGGAAGAAACTGACTTGGCATGGTGTATGTGCAAGGGGGCATGCTCTGGAATTGCTTCATGGCGGTCGGCGGGACGGCGGAGGTGTGAGTGTTAAGGCCTGCCATGGCGGCCGACATTGAAACGTTAAGAGTGTCCATCACTGCTGTCTGGTTGGTAGAACTGGGCATATCTAGATCCGGTGTATTCAGGAGCTGATACAGATGGCCCTGCTGGGGAGGGACAGAAAGATGAAGGTCTGGTGTAGGAAGTTCTTGTTTGATGAAAATATTGTTCACCTCTGGAGCTGCGGTCTGGTGGGAGCTGAATATGCTGGTGAACTCGGGGAGGGCCTGGGTTGGGGCCGGAGGAGGGGCAGTCGTCTCACTCTGGTGGCTGAAAATGGTAACAGGTTCTGTCTTGATGTGTGTTACGCACGGTCTCTGGGATTTGTAGAGGCCAGTTCTCAGGTGAGTGATGTCAGGGAGGAAGACGTTCATGTTGATACTGTAGGGTAACCCTTCACTGTCAGTGAAGAACTGGTCTACGACTGAGGCACTGTCTCGTCTATACTTTTTATGTTCTGGAATTATAGAAACTGGAGGAAGCTGAGGTGTCAGGTACTTCTCCATTTCACATCTTGTCTAAAAAAGAAGAGATAGAAACATGTATAATCCACCCAATTCATCATCCCGGGAAGAACAAACTGTGCTTACTAAAAATTCCCCCAACAATCTCTATGAAAAGTACCAAGGCAAACTCCTCTAAGTGTGCCTTATATAAACATATCAGGTTTATTTGTCAACTGTGTAACAAATGGTTCACCAAAAACCTTACGAAACTGTGTATAACAAGTGTTTGGAAAAATCGCCGCCAGTCAACCCCAGACAAAAAGTGAGACAAATCAAGAAGAAAAAGGAAGCAAAGAGAAAAAAATATTCCTTTCTTATGCAATAATAAAGTATACTTTATCATCACTCATATACAAGCAGGATTCTCTGCTCCATTACAACTGAAAATACAGTACTGTAATAAGGCCAAATTATCTCTCTTATTCACGTCACATAGGTAAATCCAGTGGTTGAAAAGGGAAAAAAAAAAGCTCAGTAAACCTTTATGGTTAAGGTTAATATTGCAAAATTTTCTCTTTTTTTTGCTTGGGTAGATATTGCTGAAATAGCTAATATAAAACATATTCTTTGTCTATTTAAGTGCCTTTTCCAGTTTACAGTTCAATGGAAACCTAAATACAATGTTTTGAGCAAAACACAGTATCCACTGAGAGAACAAACCAACTTCTCCACCAGTTTGATCTAAATGTTGATTTTAATCAGCAGATTCTGTAATTGGTTAATAAGATAATGAAATGTTCCTATTCATATCCCTATCTAAAACAGATCTTTAATTACCTAGGGGAAAACCATTCCTTTGGTAGAGTGGTGCTAAGGGGCCGTGGGTGGAGAGAGGCTGCTAGTAGCCAGCACAGTCATCAGCCAAACATTTATGTGTCCTCAGTGGGCCAATGCTACATTCCCCCTCACTCTGTAAAAAGCTCAGTCATCCCTTATCCTCCTGTGTCTTCTAAGCAGCAAATTGACAAATGCCCACACGGTTTTAAAAGGGTGATTTTTCCTCTTTAGGACACAGTCCAGCTTGTAACTGGTCTCCCTCAGTCTTTTGCAGCTATCATCTTTCCTAGTATAACACAAACTTCTAAAATTTTTAGCACTGAAAGGAAATTTCAACAGAAACACACACATACGAAACAACACCCCCAACTAGATGCTCACAGAACTATTAACCGTGGCATTTTAACAAGTGAATAACAGTCTTTTTTTTTTTTTGCTACTACTTAATTTCAGCTATCAGACCCCGAGATCATTTTGTGTGGATATAGACTCGGGTTTCCCGCAAAGATACGATTTAAAAATAAAAACGCGCTGGTCTTGTGAGTCACATCTCTGACAAATGCCGCTGCCTCTGCACAGCACGGTGACATTCGCAGACCCCCGGAGCAGGAGTTGGGTATAGCAAATACACAGTATACCAAGGGGCTATTAAATGAAGCGTCTTGAAATAAACCGAACTAAACCCTTTCGTGCGCTTTGCTCCCATGGTGGTTAGTGGTTTCTGATTTTAGCTCTTCCAGCTGTTTGCATGTGGGTATGTTTCCAATTTTTTTTTTTTCCCTGGGACAGGCTAAAAGTCCCGGGAAGTTTTTTCTGGGCTATATGACTCCCTGCGTGGGCGAAAGAAACAGGCGGTTGCTCTAATTCGGCTGCCGGGCAAGTGTAAAAGCCAACTGCCAGCTTTCAACGCGGCTCCGGGAGGAAATTTACGCGCAGATGAAGAAAACAACACCTCCCGGTCCTTCTTTTTTTCTTTCTTTCTTTTCTAAGAAAAAAAATTAGCGCTCCAACACCACCTGAGCTTTTCTAACTCCCGTTTCCCAAAGGAGCCCTACGATCGCGTCTAAAACAGGTTGCACCAAGCGATATAAAACTAGCACCCCGAGAGGCCTCCCTCCAGCACAGCCCCCCGCCCCGATTTGCGTTCCCACTGAGCCCGGGACGCCGTGGGTCGGGACAGCGGGTGACCTCCAAGGCCGGGGCAGCGGTAGGAGGCGGATTTAGGGGACACACGGAATCGAGGACCGGCGTGAGGAACGAGCTTTCATCCCCCAAATGGTAGAAAAACAACTAAGGTGCGCGTGAGCACCAGTTCCCTCCTGAACCTTTCCCGGAAAGAGCTGCCAGGGCAGACTCCCCATAGACTCTACTCATTCGGGTGCCCCCACCAGGCCAGGAGGGCAGGGCGGGGCTGCCCCCCAGCCCTGGGCCGCGGTGCGCCCCGACGCGCGCCCCAGCCTGGAGCGGCCCCTGTCGCCCGCGCGCCGCAGCGGCGGGACACGCCCGAGGCCCGGGAGGGAGGCGGAGGGAGGGGAGCGGCTCTTCCTACCTGGACCAGCTCCTCGGCGGGCAGCCGCGGGCCCGCGGCGGGCGGCGGCGCCGGCTGTGGCGGCGCGGGCTGCGCCTGCGGGTGGTGGTGCGGGTGCTTCAGCTCGTCGCCGGGGAAGAGCGCCGGGTCGCGGGCCGGGTTCGCGGCGCCCAGCACGGGCTTGAGCTGCGCGAACACGGGCTCGTCCTGAGGGGCCGGCGGCTGGGGCACGGGTCCCAGGCGGGCGCTCATGGTCAGCACCCGCGTAGCCATGGGCACTCGGGGGTGGGGGGTGGGGGCGGTTCCGGGCGCGGGGCGCGAGTCAAGCGCGCTTCCCACGTCGCCCACGCTGGTCGGGTCGGCGAGCTTGGCTCCGGACGGACCCCTCAGCTCACAAGCAGGCGCGGTTTTCAAAGGCGCGCACGAAAAGCCAAACTCTTCCGCTCCGCCACGCTTAAACGCCGACGTCCACCCGGCGACCACTTTCTCCCGCCCCGCCCCACCGCGTTCCCCAGCTCCCCGGAGTCCGCTCCCGCCACTGCCTGCCTCCGCGAGCGAGCTGCTAGCGCGCGTACCTGCCCCGCGACTACTGACACTTGACGCCCGCCTCTATTTTACCCAACTCCAGGGAGGCGGGGCCAGCCGGCCAGACTGGCAGCGCTCCGACGAATCGCGGGGCCCCGAAGCTGGCCGGGCCTGAGCGGCTGGCCTATGAAAAGGGAGAAGCTCGCTCAGAGCCCCGCCTCCGCCAGGCGGACCGCACCCCTTTCGGGCCACGAGCTTCGCGCGCAGGGCGGCCGCGCAGTTTGTACACAACCTCTCTGACAGATTGGGCTGGCGGAGACGGGGGCGGAGGGAAAAAGAGAAGCGAGTGGAATCTGGGGAAGAGAGGGAATTCGGGTGGAGACGTGGAGGGAGATCTCTTCGGACTGTTCTCTGCCAGGATTAGCGAGAAAAAGAGTTTTGCACTCCTTAGGTGTTGTGCAAAGACCTGAAACTCGCAAGTTGAAACCTAGAAGGCAGCTAGGTGGGGGCGCTAAGGTTTTGGAGAGTTTTGTTTAATGAGCGTGTATTTTTAAATATACAAAATGTACTTTTCTTTAGCGCAAAACTAGGGGCGATGTGATAAACATTTAAAAACAGCTCTTGTCTCTGTGTATCTTTAGCAGTGAATAAATCCCTTCAGCAAAGCAAATTTGGAATGTCCTGAATAAAAGGTTTAATGGCAGGTATTTTTTTTTTAAGTCCTTACATAAAAGCTTGTTTTTTTTCCCTTGCAGTATTTAAATGGGTAGGAGAAGTTTTCAAACACATTTCAACCTCGTATCTGGGTATGGAGAGGAGGGAGATGGGGCACATGAATTTTCAAGTTTTTAATATTTACACTGTTGATTCTAGCCAAAGCATGCAATCTAATTTAAGCACCAACGACTAGATGAAATGTATTTAAATAGACATTACATCTTTGACTTATTTTTGCTACCACTGTGTGTTCAAAAAGTGGAGTTTAATGTTTGTAAAACAGAAACGTATTAGCACATTTACCTTACACCGTGGCACCTACTCCTACGAAAAGACAACCAAAGAAAGGCACAAACGTTAGACACGCAGCAGCTCTGAAAACTGGGAATCCAAACTTATCGGAAAGTAAGAGCGAAAATATTTCACTGTCCATTTACTGTGTTATAGTGGGAAGGTGAATTTTGCCAGCAATCACCTAAGGAAACCAGTTTCCTTAATCCTTAATGTTCTTATGCATGATTTTTATCTGGCTTATTGGGAAGCCATAACACTACACTGCAATAAAAATGCCTGGAATATTACTACATATGTACATATGTTGACATTTTTACATCTACATCATCACTTCATGGTAAAGCAGCTTTTACAAAAAAAAGTGTTCTTAGGAAAATGTTCTCCTCAAAGAGTGAATCTATCAAAAGATATGGATCTCTTTTCAGTGTGTGGATTTAAAAAATTAATAAACACATAAAGTGTTATAGGTGTTTATCGTTAGAAAACATAAAATTATGCTGTAAAATATGTTTTCTCTTTTTCATTCTGTTTTTACTAAAGATTCATTTTTACAGCTGTGATCACTGTTTTCAGAGAATGGTTGATGTCTATTTTCATGCTACCAAAGGATTATTTAATGTGTTTTGGCAAATTTTTTCCAAGCAAACAATCCCACACTATCCACCTTCATCTTTAAAAAGTTGCCCTGGAAAAAAAAAAAAAACTTGCCCTGATTTTCTCTAATACTGAATCCAATTAGGTAATTAAATAATTTAGAAACAGATTATAGAATTGTTATGGAATTTAATATAACTTAAAAAAAATTGAACCTTGAAAGATTTTTAGTGGTTAATGCTACTAACATGATCAAATCCGTGTCATATAGATAACTCTTAATAGAACTTTTATATTCTTTTTAACTTTAAACCTAAATCTAACTTACATTTAATACAAGTTGGCATCTATTTATATTTTAATTTGCTTTTAAGCCTATCTAGACCTTTCCTTTTATCTCTCTCTTTTGTTGTTGTTGTTGTTTTTCACCACAGTGTCAGTGGCCTATTATTTCAACCTAAGCTTTCACTGCAATAAAATCCAGGTATTTTACTGGAAATGTGTCTATATTTCACACCAATTTTTGACATGTCTTCATTTACAAAAGTGTTTCCAATGCAAAAAAAAAAAAAAGCCTATTTGATAAACTTTTAATACAATATATTTATAGTCCTTTAAATTTTTTTCTTATTTCCAGTTTTATTAATGAATATAGATATGAACCTAGTTATGGTTGGGCTCGAAACATATTTATAGCAGAAAAGCTGAATACAATCTTTTTTGCTCAAACACAGTAGCATTTATTTAAATTTCATCTCTGACAGAAGGATTCATGAAATAGGGCTGCCACTTTTAAGTAATGGTTTCTCTGAAATACCCAGCTCTGCAAGCTCACAGAAAATAACTAGCTTAGCACTGTACAATAGTACGGAAATTGGAAAGTAATCTTTTCAGAGACATTTGCTATGCGGTTCTGAACGTATAAAAGACATGTTCAACCAAGCTTACTTGCTGTTGCTGTGAACACAAATGATCTAGCAGCAAACCTGCTTCTTCGACTTAACCAAAAGGGTTAAAACTCGATAAATATTTTTCAAATGTTTCAGGTTCTGCATTGGCGTGGAGCCAGACAGTGTGAATGGACAGATCCTCAATTACTTTGAACTTTCTAGTTCTTTGCATTCTTTCCTGCTTAGTAGTGCTGTACCATTAGGGAAGATAGGAGAAAACAAAAAACAAATGTCAGGTTTCAAAAATCAATTAGTGGCCTGGCAGCGGAGGTTAACTGAACTGTTCCAAAACAGAGAATTCGGAGGGAAGGAAAGAGAAAAAGTTGAGTAGTCAAGTTAGGTAGGAGGGTAAGCATAGAAGCAGTGTGCATGCTTAAGTCCTTAGTCACTGGGCAACACAGATTTAGTCTTAGAATAAACCCTAAGTGTCACTATCTTTACGGGAATAAATATGCCTGAATGTGTGGGGGTTGAGCAGGCAGTCAGCCGTGGGGGAGGGGGAGATTTGAAGGAGGCAGTGGGAAAAAAAAATTGATAAATAGCTTCTGAATGATGAGATGAAAGAAATATGAAACTATCACTAGGGTAGGGTTCACAGGAAGACACGGCAAAAGAAATATCTGTATTCAGTTGTTTGGCCAAAACCTCAGGGAGAACTTGAAATTATAGGATCTTATTTTTGACAACACTTTATTCACTTTGGAAACTATTGATAGAATATTGCATTTCAGTAAAATGAGTGAAATTTCTGAGTGATACTGAGCATGATACAGAAAAAGCATGACAATGAATAAAAATCTTTTTTTTTTTTATAAGGGAGTAAATTCTCCTCCAGGGTAGGATTATTCAATTTAAAGTGACTTTTCTTGATAATCATTGACTGTCTGCCAAGTATTAGAATCTGTATCAATAGAAACTAAGATATAACTATTGTCCTATATTTCACATTTTTAATCTTTTCATTAATGGCAACTGCTTGAAGCCACACATAAAAAAAAGTCATTGAGAAAAGAACACAATAAACAGAAGATTCAAATGAGATTTAGAAGATTCAAAATTCAAACTGTTTTTACTCAAAAAACTAAGACACCTGAGAAAAGATGTCCATTCCTTTTGTGATGAAACAATATGTAATTTAAATATGATTATGTATTTCTTTTTGTATAAATCAGAGTGGTCTTAAGAAAAACACTTCATGTTTTTTTTTTTTTACTATCTCAATCCCAGTTCTTAAGAAATTAAATTTTATATTTAAATTTGGATTTAAATGTGTTCTTCCTGAAATATTTCATAAAACTCTCAATGTGCACTTATTCCTAAATGTACTATAATTTATCCTATTTTTCAAACTCTATTAATAGGGAAAAAAAAAACAATATTTTACCTTTTGGGGGCACGGGGATTGCTTTTTCCACCTTGTGAGTATAATAAGCAGACAAATGTAAACGCCTTGAACCAAGTTATAGGCCAGGCATACTGTAGCTTAAACTGTACAGTATATGAATTCTGACTTGAAACATGATAGGAAAGGTCAAGAGAAAAGTCCTGAACTGAAGTAGTTACGCCAGACAATCTTAGAACATTAAGGAGGCCACATCACCAGCATCACAATGAGTGGTGTTTTGAGCCAATTGATGTTCATGTGATGACAAAGCCCTAATGGTCCTAGGCTGTGAGGCACTCGTAATGCATGCTCAAGTGAACTGTGCGCGGGGCACAAGAAAATACCCCTTTGGAGGTTCATTTGTGAATGAAATGTGTAAAAGGATGGTGCTAAGACCAGTGCAGACTCTTCATGCCTTCACGTCTATCCACTGGTGACGGTTAGGTAAATTAATGTAACTTCTGAAGAGCACAGCTGGACAATAAGTTGAAGAAGGCTAAAATGTAAACAACATTTAAACCAATAGATAATACCCCCTCTAGGAAATATATTATACATTGGAAAGACCTGAGTTTGCCCAACTATAGGAGAGTAGTTCAATAGTATATCCATATAGTGGCTACTGTTCTGTTACCCAAAATTATATTATTAATGGATATTTAGTCACATGGAAAAATACTCATGATATGTTAAGTAAAATAAAAGTTAAGAGGTCTTTATAAACACACACCCAAAGATGAAAGGAAAATACAAAACATGGATGCATTTTGGTGGCTCTCATTGGATGGTGAAATGACGGGTAGTTGTAC